CTGTGAAACAATTCATTCACAAGCTTTAATGCTACTTCAGGAAGTGCTTCCTGCTGCTCTCCATCAGTCTGGATGACGAGTCTTCAGCCTGAACTCACCTGTGAGCCACAAGAGCCCAAACAGGATTTGTATTTCACCCTCATGCAGTTGTGTTTATAGTGTACATGTTAGTTATTAATGCAGTCTGCACTCCTCTCTCACACAATGTCAGCCTGACTTTGTCTTTAACCAGCTTCATTTCTACTTTACTGTAAATATAAAAGTTCCTGCACTACATCACAGTATGAGACCCTTACCTGTGACTCTGTAACTGAATGTGTTTATTGTAGTCTGAACGAATGTGTCGTTCTTTATCACGCTGCTGTTGGATCTGTATAGTTAACCTGCAGCTTCTGTTAAAGACCTGGATGAGCTCTATTGGTTAAAAGGGCTTTGAGGGCTTTGACAACAACCTCACCACTGAGCTGATGGAGCCTCTCGATGACTCGAAAGTTTAAAAACATCAAACTCTACAGAGTCTCTGATCTGTTCACTCATCCATCAGTAATCTCCAATTCATTTTTGAGGTGAATGAATGAATGAAAGTGTGGAAACATGAATCCGACTGCCTGATAAACTCAAACTAGTCTCAATACAACAACATGCACTAAATGAAGACACTAGGGACGTGTAACAGAAACACAGAGCACACTCGTGCTGTGTGAGAGATCACACAGCATGAGTGTGAAGCATGAAATGAACAACAGGAGACAATAAACACACAGCAGGAGAGACACAAACACAAAGTGCACGAGACCAGAGACTCACAATAACACAGAGACTAACCTCACACAGGTGCCCACACAGAGACACCTGACTGACTTCATAACAGGGACACCAAAGGACAAAACTCACAGAGGACCAGGAGGACAAAAGAACCAGACGTCACCTACAAGAAGCCCAGAGACACAACACTGAGACGTCATGGTAACAGGAACCAGGAATATTTCACCAAAAACATGAAGAAGTTACAGAAACTCAAACACTGGACCTACGACCCCGACAAACAGAGCCGAGCTGAAGGAGGAACACCATCAGGGCGCTACACCCCCAACACACTGAAATAACCTGTAATGGAAACATCCACAGACCAACCAGGAGAGAGCACACAGAGCAGCACTGATCTCATTGGCTGGACGCTCGCTTCTATTTAAATCTAATGACAGCAGCTGCGTCACACCTGAACACGACACTTCTGCTCTCGTCATCTACAACTGTGACTTTAACGTCAGCGACACCAACATCTGACATTATTGTAACAACATGTTTTATTATATCATCGTTTACAAGCTGCAGAGCAAACACGCTGAGAGGAGTCAGAGGTCAAAGGTCAGTGGTTTGATTCTCCTGTGAGCAGAGAGAGGATCTGAAAGTGCAGCAGGAAGTGTTGATCAGGAAGCTTTGGGCAGTTCCAAACAGTAAAGGAGACTCTTTAATACGTCCTGATTCACACACAGTTACACAACGATGCCATCAATAACATGACCTGCTGCCATGTGTGGTTGCTGTGGGACACCAGGACCCCCTGACATCCCTGTGACAGACCCTCTGTGTGACGTCTCATCTAACCCATCAGCAAAGACCAACAGTTCATCCACCCTCCTCTGGTCTCTGTGAGGAGCAGTGAGGGGCTCGTAGCGTCTCTGTGCTTTGACAAGATTTAAAGTCACCAACAGATTTTTGTGTCACTTTGAAACTGCACCACAATCTGAACTTGACAAGAACAATTCAATAGTAAAGCAAAGGGTTTAAGTTCTGTACGAGAGTTTAGATTTAGACGTTTGTCTCACTGGTGGATGCAGGCGATGCGTGCACTGTAGAGTGTCAGGCAGCAAAGTTACCTGTTAGACTGTCCAGTAGGTGGTGCAGAGGGTGGAGGGGATTCTTCATGATGACAACAGCTCGTTTAATCATCACAGCCTCAGCAACTCATCAGAGTAACACAGCAGCACACTCACACAGAGAGCACACACCCAATGAGATCAAAGGGAAGCTGGAGGCGTCTCTCAGTCAGTGCAGACAGCATGAAGGCTGCAGCTGCCTCCCTGCTCCTGCTCCTGAGTCCCACCTTCATTCTTTCACTCTCACAGCTCAGGAGGTCGAGCGGGCACCTGTTAAGACCCTGGAGGTTGGTAGTTTGACTCCTGGCGGCTCCAGGCTGCATGCTAAATATCCTCGGGCGGAACACGAACACAAAGTTAGATGCATTGGACTGTGGATGTGTGTGCGTTAGACAGAAAGCACTTTGATAGAAAAAGCACAGAAAGAAGTGTTTGTGTGAGGCGAGTTTCATACAGCCAGTAAATATTGAGTAAAGTGAGAGTTCAGGTGGTGTAGAAGAGCACTACATGAGAACCAATCACAGCACAGACTCCAACAGGACAGAAGGCTTTCAGCCAGTTTGGACTGAGCAGCTCTCATTTCTACAAACCTGCCCAAAGGTGTGATGTGTTCAATGCTGTGATCATGATGTGCTGTTAGAGGCATTAGAGCAGGCTGTAGGTGTCGCAGGTGCAGTGGTTGGTATCATATCTCATTGATGTCATCAGTAGGAGGTAAGTGTACAGTTTCACTGACATGCAGCTGACACCATTTTTCTTTTGCCTGTCCTGACCTGTAACCATCAGAATAATCAGAACAATCTGAAAGCCAAGAAAAACGCCCCCACAGTTATTTCCCAAAGGGATCATTATGGCTTTGCTATGCTAAATGTAATGGTTTATTAGATTTGTTTTACTTTTGAGTTATTACACTCAGAACAGACAGGACTGGGACGAGACAGAAGAAAGACAAAGTAAAGATAAGGAGAGAAACATAGAGGAGAAGAGGGACAGAGAGAAAAGACTAAGATCTGTTTGATCACATCCTGCAGAAAAACAAGCAAAAAGAAGCAAAAAGAAACAAAAAGAAGCAAAAAGAAGCAAAAAGAAACAAAAAGAAACAAAAAGAAGCAAAAAGAAACCAGCACACTAAGGAAACCACAGCAACAGCATCATATGCACCAGTAACAGTAACTAATAAACACTGAATCCTACTGAGCAGCACACTGGACTGATAATGCACGATATGTTTAGTGTCAGCAGTGTGTGTCTGTGTACACCTGTGTGTGTGAGCTTGTGTTCAAAAGGTTTCCATCAAGCCACATGATACACATCAGCTAAAGTGCAGGAATGTGTTGATGACTGAAACAATGCTGTGCTGAACGTCAGAGTTTTCATTTCACACCATATTGTTATACAAGTGTTCTTCATATCACACAAGTGTTGGTCACAGAGCTCGATGTGCTGGAACTTTTTACATGTGCATGTTTCCCCAACACAATATGATTAGAAAACACTACAACCATCTATTCTGAGAGATTTCATACAATCAATGAGTTAAACTGCAGGAATGTCTTAAAGACATAAAGACCTGGATGCTAACTTTCTGCTTCTTAATTCAGATCAAACTGAAGTTATTGTACTCGGCCCTGAAAAGCTTAGAAATATGGTATCTAAGCAGATTCTTACCCTGGATGGCATTACCTTGGCCTCCAGTAACGCTGTGAGGAACCTTGGAGTCATGTTTGACCAGGACATGTCCTTCAACGCACATATTAAACAAATATGTAAGACTGCTTTCTTGCTTTCTTGGGCAGCACGGCGGCACGGTGGTTAGCACTGTTGCCGCACAGCAAGAAGGTCCTGAGTTCAATTCCAACATCAGGCCGGGGTCTTTCTGTGTGGAGTTTGCATGTTCTCCCCGTGTTTGCGTGGGTTCCCTCCGGGTACTCCGGCTTCCTCCCACCGTCCAAAGACATGCAGCTTGTGGGGATAGGTTAATTGGATAATCCAAATTGTCACTAGGTGTGAATGTGAGTGTGAATGGTTGTCTGTCCTTGTGTGTTGACCCTGCGACAGACTGGCGACCTGTCCAGGGTGTACCCTGCCTCTCGCCCTATGACAGCTGGGATAGGCTCCAGTGCCCCCCGCGACCCTGAAAAAGGATAAGCGGAAGTGGATGGATGGATGCTTTCTTCCATTTGTGCAACATCTCTAAAGTTAGAAATATCCTCTGCCACCGTTTCTGGAACTGGGGACCATCACACTCCTCTGAGCTCTGTCTATAGGTTCACTTTTAGCTCCCACTGTGACTAAACCATCACACTAAACTGGTGCTACTTCCTCCTAAACCAGTTCATGTTTCCTCTGACATCGTCTGTCTTTCCTGTATGTCACTGACAGAACAGGAACTGTTCTTCACCGTGTTCTTCGTTCGCTCCGGTCAGCTGAGCGGCCGTTGCTCTCAGTCCCCAAATCAGGGCTGAAACTGAGGAGACCGAGCGTTCTCCATCGTGGCTCCTCTGGAATAATCTTCCTCTTCACACGAGGCAGTCGACATCAGTGCTGCTTTTAAATCCAGATAAACACATTTTTATTTGCTTGTTTTTGACTCAGTGGTTAACTGACTTGTATTTACTTACATTTTATTGTTTTTGCTATGTTTGTAATTTTATCCTATTTATTATTCTTATTGTATCTATTGTGTTTCTATTGTTCAGCACTTTGGTCGGCCTTGTGTGTTTTTAAAGTGCTATATAAATAAACTATGATGGTGATGATACACTCAGGCTGTGTCCCTCACTGACCTCTGACCCTCACTGACCTCTGACCCTCAGTGTCCTCTGACCCTCAGTGACCTCTGTCCTCCTGTTGCAGGTGTGTGTGTGCTGCTGCTGTCTGCAGGTGAGTTGATGAAGTGAAACCATCAGTGAGGCTCCAACAAGAACACAAACACATTTGATGCCAGTCACAGATTTATGCATCACTCTGTTTGTGTCTGCTGATCCAATAAAGCTCTGATCCTGGAGATCCCTCCAGATCCTGTGCCAGCAGGAAGTGATGTCACTGCGCTGCAGACAGAGCAATGGTGACATCATCACAGCTCATTTCTTCTTTAATGGAAGTCATGTTGGAAATAAATCAGAGTTCATCATCACAAACGTCCAGCAGTCTGATGAAGGTCTCTACTCCTGTGCTACTGATGTGTTTGGAGAATCTCCTCAGGGCTTTCTGAGGGTCAGAGGTCAGACAATGACATCACATCCTGTATAAAGACATGAACTCACCTGAAGTAAAAATAAGCTGACTGAACCATCTTCACCATGTCTCCTACAGATCCTCCTCCTCATCTCCACACCTGCACCTCCTCTAATCCTGTGAACTCTCCTGCTCTTGTTTCTCCTGTAACAGACTCCTCCGCTCCTCCCTCCTCCTCCACCCTCGTGCTGGTTGTAGCAGGTCTGGTTTCGGTGGTTCTTCTTGTTCTGCTGGTTTGGAGAGTTCTCTGGAGGAAACAGAAAGCTATGAAATCTTTCAGAGTTTAAAGCATGATGTCAAAGCTGGAAGGTCTCCTGACTGCAGACTGGGAGCTGACGCCACAGTAGAGCGGGTAGAACAGGAACCAGTGTGAAACAAACTCTCTCTGGGTCAGCTGAAGGCTTTTCAGAGAGTTTTTGGGACGTCCTGATAATAATGAATTACGGTCGTCCAGCCTGGAAGTAATAAATGCAGGAACTAGATCTTCAGCACCACTCTGAAACCCTGTGAATGTGTTGGTGTGTTTCTTTGTTCAGGAGCGCTCCACTCCTCCTCTCCTGTACATGTGAACAGTGATGTCACCATCAGACAGAGAGCCAATAGGAGAGCTGCGTGTGCTCTCATAACACACACACAGTTTCTCAGGTAAATGATCCTGTGTGTGTGTTTTCCAGCTAAAGGTCCTGATGATCCAGATGTTATCTACTCTGATGTGAGGACTCGCACTTCAGGTACAGATGATGATGAGGATGGTTCAGTGTAGTGATGAAGGACACACACCTTCTTCAGTCTGAGTAACTTCCACAGTGGGAGCTGCTGAGAAGGTTCATCTCTGTTTGATGTTTTGTTCTGTAGAAACTGATACTTTTGATTCTCTGAACACAGATGTGCTCTTTTTAAAATCAGTGAGCACAGTTAGTGTGACTTCATTCATCCTTCAGAGGAAAAGTCTTTAACAGAGATGATGGTTCAGAGTCAGTTTGGAGATTAAAAAAATATTTGGAGATAGGCAGACTGCAGGGGATCCAGAGTGTCTGGGATGTTAGTCTGGATGTAGACCAGCACCACTCTCTCAAAGCACTTTGGAGTGAGTGCAACTGGTCTGTAGTTTGTTAGGCAGGTGGCTTTTCTGTACCCTGGCTGAGGAAAGGTTGAAGATGGAGGTGAGAACGTGGACTAACTCTGAATGCAGAGCTGGTTTGGAGCTGTGGAGACTTACTGAGGAGTAAAGTAGACATGAAGGAGTCACAGAGGGAGGAGGAGGTGAACAGTGATGTTTGTTAGACAGGATCAGACTGAAGAGGGAACATAAGAAGAGTTTAATGCTGGATTTGAACAGGACAGGAAGACAAGCTCCGCCCAGCAGCTGAGTCCTCTCTGCTCACACTGGTGTTGGACTGCAACATCAGGGAGTCTGCTTCCACATCTGGTTTCCACAGCTGGAGGAAGCTGTCCCACGAGCACGCCTACGCCCCTCTGTCATTACTGAAGTAGTGATGGTGTTTAATCAGTGTGAGACTGTTTCACTGGTCCAAGC